TAATAGTTCAATTATTAAAATTGAGTTGAGACATGATATCCAATATTCTTGTCATTTATTAATTAAGATAAAGTGCATCGTTAGTATCATCATCCTAAAAATTTTTCTTTATTTCATACTGTAATTTGATCCTTAATGTAATATGTCTGATGGTCAAATTGAAAGTTACTCACTTATGATTTCTTATCATATAATCGAGTAACAGGTGTAGAAAATTGTTATATCTTTTGCTGTCTGTCACATAATATACTTGATTCAAAACAACAAATTTGATGACATTGAACAATAACAAAACTGATAAATACATATGTTGTAAAATGAGAACATATATAGTATATCAAATAAAAATCATCGTAAAATTGTATGCAACAGACATGTTAAAAGTCATCAGTATCATTGCTGTAGTAACAGATGAACTCAATGATAAAAAAATAGATAGCGTGTCATGAATATTATGATTTAGATACAACTATTGATCGAAAGGTATAACTTTCAGTAATATTTATTAAGTATGTCCGTGGAAACTAAATAAATTATGAGATGTCAAATATAAGTCGTTTGATCGATCAAATATTCAATAAAACAAATCCTTCTATTTTTTACAATAGAGTCTACTGCAAATAAAAAATTTAATAATTATTATCTTCTCTGAGAAATGCACACACGCACACGAATTCCTGAATTGCACAAAAAAAGGCTAAAAGAAAAAACACGATTATTATTATCGTGTGAGTGAAAAAAAAGTACGCACGCACGCACGCACGCACACAATGTTATATAAAACCAAACTGACTAGTTCTATCGAGTGTATCTTAGAAAAATTTTAAACATCCATTTTTTCTTCTTCAGCAAGTCGAGCAACATGTGAAATAGGTGCATTATATCGAAATGATGAATACGGTGCTCGAAATGTATTCATCATCGGTGGTGGAAGTGGTGACGATGATGAATCTGTTCCACTACTTGTATATGTTGTTGCTGTTGAAATTGATAATGATAATGGTCGTCCAGGAATAACTTGTTGGTGTTGTTTCAATAAACAAATCGATTCAAACCCACTATCTCGAGGAGGTTTTGCTAAAATATTCTTACAATTAATAATCAAAAAAAAGAAATCAAGTTAATTATTACGTGGTGGAATGACAACAGAAGGCATTGATGAAAGGAAAGGTGATGGTGGATAACTATTACGACTTATTCGTGAAAAACTATGATGATCTGATAAAGGTCGCATAGTTGAAGTCTAAGAAAACAAAAAAAATTCTTATGAAATTATTTTGATTAAGAAAACTAACCTTGTTCAATATTCTTATTTGTTTATTCATTGAATCTGATGATTCAAATGATGTTCGATCACTTCCATTTAAATTAACAAGTCGTTCACGTTCTTCTGATGTTATATCATCATGTTCATCTATTTTACTACTACAACCACTATCATCATGTATAAATGGAGATTTTCGTTGTAATGTATCATAAAAATTAAATTGTCTTGAACAATTATAAGTTTTTTTTTGTGGTTTTAAAATTTTTCGATGACGAAATATAAATGTATGTAAACAAAATGTTATTAAAATTGTTATTATTATAATAATAATAAATAAAAAAAGTAAAAATAATCCAATAACTACATAAGAATATTGATCAAACAATGATAATGACCATTGAAATAGATTTTGATTATTATTAATTAAAGTTAGATTTGAAAAAGATATATTTTCATAATCAAAATAATTATCAAAAATATGCATTATCGATGTTGAGATAAAACAATCATGAGTTGAATTCAGTCGTTTAGGTTTTCCATGATCAATAGCCATAATACGTATATGATAATAGGATGATTGATTTAAATTTTCTATATTAAATACTTGACCTTGATCATTAATTGTAAAAAAATTATCATAAGGTGGAAGAATTGAATAGGATAGAAGACCATTATCACCTATATCTGAATCCGTTGCATAGACATGAAATAATGATTGATTATTATCTGAAAAAAATAATTTATTGAAGAATAAAATATTTTTGTTTGAAGAACTTACCGATTGATTGATTATCTGAAGGATTTAGTTGTATATTACAATTTATTGATTGATTAAATATGGGTGGAGAATCATTTTCATCAATAATAAGTATTTTATATTCTAATCGAAGAGATTTTGATGGTTGTCCATGATCATAAATAATTAAAATAAATTTATCTGAATGAAGTTTTTGATCTTCACGATCAATTGAATTTTGTGTAACAAGTAAAAATGATTTTTGATCAATTGGTCTTATTCCAATAAGATCATTTCCTTGTTCAATTCGATAGGACATTTCACCATTTAAACCAGAATCTTGATCTGATATTGAAACATGTGCTAACATTTGTCCTATTGGAGTATTTTCATGTAAAGGAATAATTGTATCATTTATAAGAGATTCTACAAATGTTATAAATGCTTGTGGTTGATTATCATTTTCATCAAGAACATATATATCAATTGTCGCAAAACGTGAAAGAGAATTTTCACCTAAATCTCGTACTTGAATTGTTAAACGATAGGATTGTTCAGATTCATAATCAAGTCGACTAACAAGAGTTAACATTCCAGTAGAATCATTAATTCGAAAATAATCCATCCAACTTGATGATGGAAGACCATTACTTATTGAATAATGAATCTAATTATAATGAAAGTTATACAAGACAAATGAAAAAGAAAAGATTCATTTTACTTTTCCATTAAGTCCAATATCTTGATCTGTCGCATTGACACGTGTTAATTCAGTACCAATAGGTGTATTTTCACTTACATTAAGACGAATATGTGCTTCCAAAAGAACAACTGGATTATCATTCATATCCTAATTAAGAAGAAGAAGAAGAAAAAAGAAAAGTTTCAATTATTATTTGAAAATATATATATATACATCAATTTTAATAGATAATTTTGTTGAACTTTGTCTTTGTGGTTGGCCATTATCAAAAGCAATCAATTCATATTCATAATGATCTCGTTCTTCTCGATCGATTTCTTTAATTACTTTTAATATTATACCACCGTTAATCTTTGTCACTAATTCAAATGGTCCATCATTATTTTTCTTATCTAATCGTTTAAGTTCATAGTTAATACGGCTATTTTCTCCAAGATCTGCATCAATTGCTTGTTCTAAACTTAATTCATATCCAATTGGAATATTTTCCATTAAATTAAATTCATAATATTTTGATGAAAATCTTGGTTCATGATCATTTATATCGTCAATATTTAATATAAGTTGTAAAAGACGATATGGTGTTTGCCATTCAATTAATTCAATGGTTAATTGACATTGTATACATGAACATATACGTTGAGAACATAAATCTTCTCGATCAATTGAACGTGCCAATAAAAGATGACCATTTGAAGAATCATACCGAACAAATGAATTTTGATTTCTACCTGTATCAAATAAACGATATGTTGCTGTATTTGTTGTTGTAAATAATATTGTTGATATTGGTAATTCTTCATCAACACGTATATGAATTATTTGTTGTTCTTGATTTTTACAAAATACAATTGAAAAGATAAATAAGAAAAAGAATATATAAAACATTATATCTACAAATATAAGCAGATGTATATATTTAATCTTTCTCATTAATCAACTCATGTCACACACACTTTCCACTTCAGTATAGAGTAGTTTTTTTTCTCTCACAAATTATCACCTTCTTCGCCAATGAATAACTGTATTTGACAATTAGACATTTGAGAATATAGGCAGGTGTGCAGATGTATTTCCAAAGTAGGATATACGCCCAAGAAGAAAAAATAGAGAAAAAAGAAAGTTCCGGAGTTAGTCTACACTAGACGAAAATTACATCGTCTCATTCTGATCTAATCATGTGAATGAGATTGTGTTCACTGGCAATTCTCATCTTATTGAGGAAATGAGATGGAAGATGAACGCGATGGACCGCATTGAATATGTATGCAGACATTAACGCCCAATGGCTACTATTTGTTTTGACTTGCTTTCCTCCTTCGATTTATGAAATACAACAATGAACAACTACGGAATGAAGAAGGAAAAAAAACCTTGACTGTCAATAAAAGAAAAAAGAGCATATGGTACAAACAAATTAGAAAATAACGATAAGGAAAAAATTATTGAACTTCTAATTGGCTCAAGCTTGAGGCAATGTCTCTTGATCATGAACTAGAAGTATGACTACTATGATTATTTCTACTTCAATGAATTAAACAATAACCTATTATAGATGATCATAAAATGTTCTCAACCAGAAATTATTTAATCATGTCAATAACAGATAAAAAATACATTCATTTTTTCTTTTTTGTTTCTTGATAAACTTTCTGAAAAATAGCGATACTCATCTGCTTATATTTTGTTCATCAAATATAAGTTCAATTGAATCTCGAGGCTTTCTTGTACATTGATCGATATCTTACTTTTTTTTTCTTCATTGTCTAGACAAATACATTGATTTTCTGTGTTATACTTACCTTGCCTTAGGAAGATAACAATACATATATATATATATATATTGTTATTTCTTTTTATTCTAATTGTTGACTGTTCTCTTTCTCTGTGAGCGCGCGCTGACATTGTCGACAACTTGAATCAATGGAGAATTTTTGACTCTTGATAGCTGTAAAATAATATTGAAAATGATCGAATGAATGAATGTCGATCGGGCGGATGTTGCCCGTTTTTCTTCTAAGTGTTATGAATGTAAACAGTTGAGTGGTAACTGCCTATTTAAATTCACATTGTGATGACGGGACACATACTTATACGCGCGTGTGTATGCTTACAATCAATTGAATGTCTCGAATGATTGAATTTTCGTATCTTCTTTTTCTAATCAATAGAAATATCAAAAAAAAAA